AGATTTGCAAACTGACTATGAAAAGTTCAGCAATTACGAAGCTCTCATCGACGAAAACGAGATGCTCAAGCGTCGCGTTCAAGACCTTGATAATGTCAAATCCAAGCAGGCCAGTGAGATTAAAACTCTTGAAGACGAACTGCGTACTTCGGTGCAAAACCTCAACAACCTCGATTCAAAGATTCAGGCAGAGCGCGAGGCCATTTCCGCGAAGGAGCAGAAGTACACGCTCCTGCTGGACAAGACCAAGTTTGAGCTGATTGAGATGCACGCTCGTCTGGAGCAGTCGCGTGTCGAATATGCCAATCTGTACCGTAAGAACCAGTTCCTCCAGAAGGAGGTGACCAAATGCCGAGACCGACAGTCCCAGTCAGACGTGGCTACACAGGTATTCTATTNATCTGTACCGTAAGAACCAGTTCCTCCAGAAGGAGGTGACCAAATGCCGAGACCGACAGTCCCAGTCAGACGTGGCTACACAGGTATTCTATTTGCCGGAAACATTCTCTGTGTTGAGCATCAACTAACTGAATCACTTTCCTCTTTCCTCAAGTCCACCTCTGCCTCTCGCAGCATTGGCACCCTGACCACCGCTGCCGGGCCTTCCAAGAAGGCACGTGGTCTGGACATCTTGGTGCCTACTTCTGTCAAGGACAGCATGGATGAGATTGACCTGCGTCTGCAGCAGCTGGAAAAGGATATGGACGCACAGAAGCCGGAAGTGGAGGCAGTCTTGGAGAAGGCTAAAGCTGTCGAGGAGCAGTTGCAGGCAGCCACCAGTCCTCAGGACAGTCTCCTGATTGACATTGAAAGTGGACAGAACCAGGACGCAGTGTCCATTGCCTCAACTGTGAGTGAACCACTGGTGCAGGCCAACACCAGCCCGAAGACTCTGCTTCTCTCGCCGAGCGCCCCTCCGGCACCTCAGAAGAATGTAGTGTCTATTCCTTGCATCATGTGCGACCAGGTAAGAGACGGCGACTTTGCCTAAATCTAGAAACAGTACAAACATTTCTATTGCTTACCAGGTGATTGAATGCCGCCAGCACGAGGATGGTTCCGGACAGATGCACGAAATGGTCAACCATTTGGAGCAAGTTCACCACCAGAAGATGTGCCCGGTGTGCTCGACTCTCTTTGACACCCGTCTGCCCATCTTTTCCACCTATTTTGCGAATCACATTCAGAATCACTTCAACAACGTCAAGTACCCCAACTTAAACTAGAAGAAGCACAGCAACTAGTGCTCTCTGTTTTTATCTATCATTCTTTGCAGACAAAACTACTCCTGGATTTTGATTTCAAACACACACACACATAATCATTCTCGTATTATTCCCCTACTATTTACCACTAGTGTATAATGCAGTTTTGTCGACCAGAAACCCCCAAACTGTACTTGATAATTATAAACTGTTACTCTCTGAATAAAGCGCTACTGTTTTACAGCAAAAAAAGGTATGCCGGTGGTTGGGTGATGATTTGGTGTTTGCGAGGTTTAGAGAGAAAGGTCTGGTTGCCAGGTTGCGGCCGCCGCCAGTGCTTTGAATCCGCCAGAAGGCGACAGCTGTCTGCTGAGTGTGGAAAAAAGGGAAACGTGAAAACTAAAACCCACGTCACTCACAAAGTGAGCACAGCTGCCGCCACACTCTGCCGTCGCCGGTGAATATCATCATCATCACTCCTATTGAGAGGCTTTCTGGACCATCCCGCCCTCTCCAGCGCACCTGTCAACTCCTTCGGTCCACTGAAAGCGGTGTGATGGACACCGACATTCAAGAGCAGAACAGCAAACAGCCGCTGCTGCGTGTCTCTGTCCTGGGACTCGCCTGGATCGCCGGCTTTTGCTCTCGCTTGTTTGCTGTTATTAGGTGGGCATTTTGTCTTCTGTTTACCTGTAATAAACTTGCTAATTTTTAATCTTTTGGACAGGTTTGAATCCATTATCCATGAGGTATCACATTTGTAGGCGATTTGTTGTTTGGGAAAGTTTAACATATATTTTCAATCACAGTTTGATCCTTGGTTCAATTACCGAGCGACGCACTACATGGTAAAACATGGGTTTTACAACTTTCTCAACTGGTTTGACGAACGAGCTTGGTATCCCTTGGGTCGAATCGTCGGTGGAACGGTACGTCATGGACAGCAGGCCACAAATGTCAGCAGAATAATGTCAACTCCATCCTCGTAGGTCTACCCTGGGCTGATGTTGACATCGGGTTTGATTCACTACGTGCTAGACTCACTGCACATTCACATCCACATTCGTGACATTTGCGTCTTTCTCGCACCGGTTTTCTCTGGACTGACTGCCATCGCGACCTACCTTCTCACCAAGGAACTGTGGAATGAACAAGCCGGTCTTTTTGCCGCCTGCTTCATTGCAATTGGTAAGTGTTATTTGTTTTCTCTGACATCTCTTACAATTTCTGTATTTACAGTTCCCGGCTACATCTCCCGATCAGTGGCTGGCAGCTACGACAATGAAGGCATTGCCATCTTTGCGCTCATGTTCACCTACTATCTGTGGATCAAGACAGTGAAGACTGGGTCTGTCTACTGGGCCACGTTGACTGCTCTCTCCTACCTCTACATGGTCTCAGCTTGGGGTGGTTACGTTTTTATCATCAACCTGATTCCACTTCACGTCTTCTTCCTCTTGCTCATGGGGCGGTATTCGAACCGAATCTATGTTGGTAAGTACTTTCTACTGCGTACTAACATTTCATAACCTTCATTTCTTCTTTCAGGCTACTCCACCTTCTTCATTCTCGGTCTTCTCTTTTCTATGCAAATTCCCTTTGTCGGCTTTCAGCCCATTCGCACCAGTGAACACATGGCCTCGGCTGGAGTTTTCCTTCTCCTGCAAGCCTATGCTTTCCTGAAGTACGTCCAGGGCTTCCTCTCCAAGGCCCAACTGAAGACTTTCTTCTTGTCGGCCATTGCCACCATTGCCGCCCTCGTCTTTGCAGGAGTTGTGATGCTGACATATGCCGGTTACATTGCCCCATGGAGTGGTCGATTCTACTCGCTATGGGACACCGGATATGCCAAGATTCATATTCCCATCATTGCTTCGGTCTCTGAGCATCAGCCGACCACTTGGTTCTCTTTCTTCTTTGACCTCCACGTTCTGGTGGCAGCTTTTCCCGTCGGCCTCTGGTACTGCATCAAAGAGGTTAACGACGCACGCGTTTTCAGTAAGTTGACATCTATGCTTTCTTTATGGTGTTTCTAACGATATACTTGAAATTCAGTCGCCTTGTACGCCATCACTGCATCTTACTTCGCCGGTGTCATGGTTCGGCTAATGCTCACCTTAACTCCTGTCGTCTGCGTTCTCAGTGCAATTGCATTCTCCGAATGCTTCTCAGCTTGTTTGGTGGACGTCAAGGAGAAGAAGCCCAAGGCCGTCGAAGAGGACCGCACCAACACTGGCAGCTCAACTGAAGGCAAACAGGGCAAACTGTACGACAAGGCTGGAAAGGTTCGCAAGATTCGCGCCGAGCCGAAGGAGGCTGAAACCGTTGGCTCAAACCTGCGCACCTTCACCTCCGTTCTCCTCATTATGCTTCTGATGCTCTTTGTGGTTCACTGCACCTGGGTTACCAGTAATGCCTACTCCAGTCCTAGCATTGTGCTTGCCAGCTACGGACATGATGGGTGAGTCTGACCAGTATACACTTTGGCTAGTACTTATCACCCTTATTATTAACAGATCTCGCGTCATTTTGGACGACTTCCGAGAAGCCTATTACTGGCTTTCGCAGAATACTGCCGACGATGCTCGTGTCATGTCGTGGTGGGATTACGGGTAAGCTCTGTATGTCTGGCAATAGTTGATTTATAGCTAACCTTGCTCGCCTTACAGTTACCAAATTGCGGGAATGGCGAACCGAACAACGTTAGTGGATAACAATACTTGGAACAATAGTCATATTGCCCTGGTGGGCAAAGCCATGTCTTCCAATGAGAGCGCCGCCTACAAGATAATGACCGCTCTCGATGTGGACTACGTACTTGTGATCTTTGGTGGCGTCATTGGCTACTCGGGCGACGACATCAACAAGTTTCTCTGGATGGTGCGCATCGCAGAGGGCGAACACCCGAATGACATTCGCGAGAGTGACTACTTCACTGATCGCGGCGAGTTTAGAGTGGATGCAGCTGGCGCGCCGACACTGCTCAACTGTCTCATGTACAAACTGAGCTACTACCGCTTCGGCGAACTTCAGGTTAGATTTCAGCAGATGAAATGTTCAGCTTTTTTGCAGTGTGCTAACAATAGAGGGACTTTCTTCTTTCCGATAGATGGACTTCCGTTCGCCTGCTGGCTACGATCGAACTCGTCAGATGGAGATTGGCAACAAGAACATTCGTCTGGAACACCTGGAAGAGGCGTACACCACTGAGCACTGGCTGGTTCGAATCTACCGAGTGAAGAAGCCCGCCAATCGGCTGAAAGTACCGTACTCGCAGCGCAAAGTCAAGACCAGTGGCTTTGTCTCTAAAAAGGTGCGTTTTGCCAGTGGATTACTGTGTCTCTATAATTAAACATTGTTTTTTCGTTAACAGAGCTCACGCAGAAAGAAGGGCACCATCAAGGCGAAAGTTGCCGCTAAGCTGTCCTAGAGCACCCTCCCTCCAACACACACAGTGCAACAGAAGGCCTAGTTCAAAAATAGTGCCTCAACAAAACAATTCTTTTTCTTCCGATGCTTGTANCACACACAGTGCAACAGAAGGCCTAGTTCAAAAATAGTGCCTCAACAAAACAATTCTTTTTCTTCCGAAGCTTTTTTTCAGAACGTCTTTATGAACGTCTAATGCTGCACAATTGTCGCGACAGCAACATTCCGACCCCCCGAGCCAGGATCGCGATGGTGTGGCCAAAGGTGTGAAAACCATTGTAATTATTCAACTTCTTAGCATTCATACTGAACTGTTTCGATGTTTTACGGTCTCTTTTTTATTTTATATGCAAATACATTATTAACACTTGACTGATTTATACAGCAATACAATCAGCAAATGAGTCAGAATGGGGCACTTGGTGAGCGCTACTAGCAATGAATCATTTCGCAGTGCAACTGTACTGTACATTTTTGCAGAAATGTACACACTTCCACACAGTACTCTCTGGCTTAATCTGCGAAAGTGGACCACGTGGAAGGACGGTTTTAGAGAGGAGAGCACTTGAAACTTAAAAAGAGTGTCCTTGTTGCCAACCAACATCACAGCCAGGCTGACACACTGGTCACACTGCCACTGGCTGATTAGATAGGCAGTGGCGAGCAAATCAGCCCAGGCAGCTGTCACTCTTTTCCATCAGTCCGCATCACTTTTTTGTTTGATATTTTTGGCACCTTAAAAGTTTGTTGCGCAATCTGTGCTTAGGTATGTTCAGTTTGTTGGCTCTCTCAGCCACCACCACCACTGTCTGCTCGATTGGCGATTCAGTAATTGAGCAGTGCTGGTCGAGCAAGTTTGCCTCCTAAAGAACGACTGTAAATGTCAGCCAAATGTAAATGTAGACGACGGCGACTAGTCACCCTTCACATTCACATAAAGGCTGTCAGTGCACACCAAAGGGATTTGCTGGACGGTCTGTCTGTCAGTCTGTCTGGTTGATAACTTTTTGGTGTCGTCGTCGTCATTCATCGTCTTTGGGTCTCCAGAGCCAGTTCCCTTTTTGCAGACATACAGACACAGCCTGTTCTCCGACTACAGCAGCTGAACCAGCAGCAGTAGCAGCGGCAATACAGCGTCAGCAGTGCACAGTGAAGAGTTGCCGAAGGAACTGCTCTCTCTCGCTCTCTCTCTCTCCTGCCTTCACCACCGTCTTCTTGTGCCTTCTCAAGCTCAAACGTTGCACGTTTTCACCGTGAAGACTATTTTTTATTCAGCAGTCGCCTAGCCAGAACGAGGCAACTTTTTTTCTGGTGTCCTCTTCAACCAGCACAAATCATTCGCCCACACTTGCACACTCAGCTGACACTTTGAGTCGGAATTGCGATCACCGACCGGGCAGCTTATCTTGCAAAGATATTTTCTGCAAAGTCAATTCTGTGAATCATCAGCTCAACTTTCTGCGGTTTTCTACAACTTGATCCACACTACCGGTGTCTTCCGTTATCTCTGCTATTTCGCACCGTTACCATTTCACAAGCCAGCCAGCTCAAGCTCAAACGTTGTCTCTTCTTTCATCATCACAAAGGAATCTATGGCACACTAGTAATCAAGGACAACATTTATTGCCATTGAATCGTCACCAATTGGGCACCACCTGATTGACAGTGCCAGTGATCTCACTTTGCACAGTGCATTTTATCAT